TATATATTATTGCATAGACGCAGATAGACACACACACACGCGTATACACACGTAGACACACAAGCGAGCATATCGTCCACTGGCCGTGGCGATTTTCAGACGCGTTTAGCTCAGCTGGTTACTAGCTTGTTCGTCCGGTTATTGTTTATGTCGATGCCCTCGGCTGTATGGCCACGGCTACTACTGTATCAACGTTGCTGTGTGTGCTGGGCTACTTGTTTTGAGCAACCACACTAGGAGCGGGGCTCATTGTGGACATTGGCGATAATTCGGGTTCATGATGCTCCAGATATGCCATGCGCATGCATGCCTGTGTTATCATCGAGGCAGAAAACTGTAACAAATCGAAAAAATAGTAACGAGGAGTTTAATTTGTATCGTCGCCAAAGGTGATTGTGGTCATTGTCAACGGTTTCGTCATAGTCATCAACTTCGTCATAGTGAACTGTTTCCAGTGTAAATCACACTGCAAGTTGGACAGGGCTTTCATGAACATTGTATATCCGCAGGAAATAAGACTTGTACATACGTGGTTCCCCTAGTTGGAATTCATTGCAGTAACGCAATCTAACACGCATTCAGTTTGTATGCATGTTACTGAATATGAGACAGACGTAGAGGATCGATAAGCGTGTCCATCTGCCACGGATCAGATAACCAGTGATTAGTATTCCTTCCCAAGTGGCTAAAAAATGTGGTGAGTGGTTAAGCCCAGTCTGGGCTTTCGGTAGATAGCGCGGTAGGGCAGCCCAGGCCTCTCTATTAGGGGAAGTCGGCACCGGAAAACATCGTGGATAAAGTGAACGAGAAATAAACCGTCCATCGTCGAATTTTAAGGTAACTAGAATATTGTACTATCACGCTTACGATCTTTGTTAAGCAGTTACTATCCATTCTATATGCAAAGTGTTATCGCATGTCATTACCACATAACGCGGTTCGGCGTGTGTTCGTGTGCGATTTCTGTAAGATACTGGAATATATAGTGTATATGTATAGTGTAGTAGAAAATATATGATATATATATATATATATATATATATATACTACATTTTAGCGTTTCATTGCATGCCTCCTCCGTCCTCCGTACAAAAAAATTACCAGTTTCTCAACCATATATATATTTATATATATAGATTTAAAATGGACATATTGAAAAGAACCGACAAGTCATTAAGACTTAAAAGCCGAGAAGACCCTCGCGTCCTGTTGACCGTGAACTCACGACGCATTTAGCTTTCCAAAGAGCTCAAACACAGCTGCTAGTAAGTTAGGCTAAGTGGTGCTGCTGCTACAATGTTTACGTAAATCGACTTTAAGGAAGAACTCTTTACCTAATACATTCGTCTGGTGTATTAGCTAATGAAGCAGAGAAGCTTTTCAACTTCCTAAGCAAAACAAGACAATGGCGGAGTATAGTCGGGAATGTATTCGTTGTTGCCATTATCATACCTAATCTGATGAAGTCCTGAATGTGTTTTATGAAGACGTTTTGCTATGGATAACCTAAACGTTAATTTTTTTCTGATCTTTTTATTTAAATAGCTTCGCTCTGTTTGCGTTTGACACGAATTGTATTCATTTCTATAATTTAACGGTAATATAATTCCAATAACACCTATTATTCATTCAAGCTTTGAATTATCGGTTGCAGTAAACTGTTGTTTCTCTAACGAGGAAAAAACTTCGTCTTTTGTTGCCGTTTATGATATAAATAAATAATGCAATTCGTCTTATGCTATCGAAATCAAGCAGAAGCTGAATATGGACAATAAAGCTAACAAACTTGATCGGTGTCATTCGTCTCTAGCTTCTCCCGAGAACTTAACAGCAGTCTTCAATTCTTCATCAATGAGAAAATATTTAGCATGAATGCGAAAATCAGTCGATCACTGCATTGCCTACGACACAGAACATCTTCCAATCAGTATCCACGTTCAGTATATGACCTGTGAAGAATATATCACATAACTATATTTCTTTCAGAAAGAAGCATCCTATTTAGATAGGAGTATCCTATAAAGAAATTTATTTAGATACTTCAAAAGCTGGGTAAAAACAGTGGATGTCGACTATAAAATTAACGTCTTTTAACAAGATGACGCATCTGCTGATAAGTGAACAAATTAGAACAGGGCCAATTGGCTGGACATATGAGCATGTTCTGAAGAAAATTCTTTGTTCGCTTTGCAGGCTTGACTTGAAGCCATGGGGCACCTTTATAGTTTCGAATTAAATGTAGGGATGCTTTGACGCAAGCTTTTATAAATCTGGACCCCGAATGAAGGAAATCTTGAAGCAAGCGTCAATTGCATTGAATTCCGTAAGAGATAGTTTTCATGCACACGGAAGAACTTCATCAAAATATGTTTCCAGTAAGAGGCAGCCGATAAAAAGCGTCATCAATTTTGTCCCAATTTATAATGATATAGTATATATACGCCGTTAGTTCTAGTCTTTTATTTACGTTCTGTTTTCTGCAAATAATCCACCTTTTACCTATCGCATCAAACGTTGTTGTTGTAACTATTTGCTGCTGTGCTCACCGGTGTCGCTTTTAGTTATCACAATAATGTTGGCGTGCAACCATAACTAGGATGTCAGTACCCCAATAAAGGAAACGGTAGCAAAGCCACTGATAGTGAGATTATTGTCAGCGACTCACGATAAATACTTACTGCGCACCCTGCAAGGTTTTTCACCTAAAGCAGCCTTCGCTTGCGGCCTTCGTTAATGTGTTGTTCTGTTGTTATGCATATGACCGCAAAAGTGGATGCATGCTGAGCGGGTAGGAGAGCGTCTAAATATGCGTAATGCCTACGTCATTTAGCAATGATTATGTCCGTAGGTGAGGTTAATAAAAGAATTATCATGGCTTTTATTTATCTCAAATATATTTCGACTGTCGGTGTCAAAAAAGCCTTAGGGGAACCCGAGCCGCATTGCTTGGTTGTTTCGATCAATTCTAATAGAAGCGCAGGTGAAACAAGAACAAAAATATAAAGACGTACCTTTCAGTTACCCGAGCGCAGTTGGATGTCGCTCATAATTTAATACGCACTGATGGAATTTAACTCCAGGCTTTTGGGTTTCTTCCAAAAAATTTTATTTCAATTTTTCCGTAACAGTAATCTAGATTTGATTTTTATACCAAAGTATAGTATCATTCCGGATCTGATCTTGACTCATTCGTTTTTTAAAACAGGTTTCAGTATTTCATAGATCTGTGATTATAGTTTAGAGAGCTAAGATGGTAAAGGGAATTTTTCAGCTCAGCATGAAAAAAAATATCCCGGGGGACAAAATTCCAAAACGAAATCACTACGTGGATCATATGTGGAATTTATACTTACTCGTGAAGGTGTTTAAGGTTCGACTCTCCTGGAAAAATTAAAGGCAACAGGCACGGTTAACCGAATTCAAAAAGTTGTTCTTGAAAAATCTAAAAGTTTTCAGTATGACCATTTAGTAATCGTGTTTACTATGTGTTACATGGCACGAGTCATTAATTTATGGCTCATACTAGTTATTAGCGATATCCAAGATCTTTCTTACACAAAGCTGATCGCTTGGAATAATTCGTCAACTTCATAAGATTATTCCTAAGCTTGAATCTAACAGTTAGCTTTTATTATCAATCAAAATTTTTATTTTGTACACTTTTTTTGCGTTTGCATCTGGTCGTATGCTACGTTGAGTATGCACACTGGGTTTACTTTGGGCCAATTCTTTTTCACTTATATTTAATTTCGGCACACAGTGCTAAGGGGATTTTATATACAGTTTATTGTATTCAGTAGAAAACGGTACGATATAAAGCCTTGGGACTTTTTACTTTTGACGAGTTAAAAAATTTTTACCTTTACATCGCTTAACATCTAGTTCACGTACGATGTGTTTTGAAAAGCACAATGTTTTCTATTAGATTTGCCCTGTAATGTTTACGATAAACTGGCGCACACACGCACACACATATATATATATATATTCGCTGAAAACAGAATAATCCCGAAAATAACACTAACGGTTTTAAGTATTTTTATGGATAAGCTTGACATAATTAACTATTCTTGCACAATAAAAGTCAGCACTTTAGAAAAATCATGTCGCACCTTAGTTTTTAATAAAACCGACATTTCTTGAATCGACTGTGCCACTCACTCGCTGTTCTGATCTAACTGCTATTGAGCGAAGGTCTTACTGCTGCTTTAAAACTTCAAGCCGCTGATGGAGGGGTACGTCTGGTGCAGTTCGAAACCCGTAGCTCCACGTAGCATAAACAACCGAAACCTAACAATAAAAATTTATTCGAAAATACTGCTAATGAGACGTTCCGACTCTGACACTAGTGAGTTTATCGTCATCACATCGGCACATCTCCCAGACAATGCTATCTCTACCTTCATATCAGTTTCGAGCAAGTCTGCATTCTGCGCATTTATATGTATGTCTCTGTGCGTGTGCATGTGTGCATGATGAGGCATGCAAATATTTAAGTTGTTTTTAAAGCTGCTTCTAATTAAAAGCAGCAGTTTTTACGATTTTTTTTTCTGCATGTGCTATAGGGGTCATCTATGACGATCATCATGTTTACTTACTATAACCATTATTGGTCCCGATTTAAAGCGGAACCTCAATCACTATTTTGTTTTCAAAATATTCTTGCACTTTAATATAATTTTTATAAAATGTATATAAATATAATATTTTTTCATAAAATATATTAATAACAACCGTACGTTAAACGAAGTTGATTGATGTCAGTAAACTTCGCTCAAATTCCTCAAACGACACACTGTTACCGCCATAATAAGGTTGTTATTTTTTTCTAGAAAAAAACTTATTTCTTCTGGTACCGAGGTAATGGATGAACGCGTTCCTGGCGCGGTAAACAGCCAACTAAAATTTGTCCGAATTTGATCGTCCCGCCCTGTATATACACACCCATCAATCTTTTTATTTAAGTCTAAGGAATCTAAAAAATTTGTACGGTTCGAAGCGTACGTACATTCTCTGATTTTTTGTGGCCAGGTAGAGATTCTATTTGGAAAGTGGACTCGGCAAATGTTTACGTAACGTTAATTAGATTGGTCGTAAACCGACATCAACCATTATCCGACAACGCCAAACTACCGTTTACAATGACTAAGGTGGCTATCAGTACAACCCGTGCAGATGAATCAACGTATGTAAATATACGAATATATATTTCTGTGAATATTGTGAGCAAGCGCGCTTAACGAGTATTGCGTGAAAAATTTTGTTTAAACTATAATATGGAAGCAGCTGTTGAGTTATAGCTACTAAAAACTAGTTGGCTATTACCCCTATTATAAATATAGTTAACCTTTTAGCTCTGCGCTCGTAAAATAACAATAGCAAAATAGGCGGAGAGCAAAGCCCGTGAGTATTGCCTCATATATATATTCAATGTTTTTTTTGCCATGCAGTCCTTTCATGATGCGACGAATTTTCGTACGCTAATTAAATCAAACTTGACTGACCAGAGGTTTGCACGACTTTGCAGTCCATGCCGGAGAGCTGATTAATTTTAAACAGGGGAAAGCAGACGAAGGATCATGAACTCCCAGGAATCGGGAGAAAATCCTTCGATGGAACTCGGGGAGAGTTCGGTGAGTTTTTATTTATGCTAATAATCTGTTTTTGTGTCTACTCTTTTTTACTATCAACAAATAATCTGACTATCTAGTGTATCTAGAAATCGTCTGTTCGGTGTAACGTTCGGTGTTTAATATGCTAATATTGCCAAACACGATATTGAATTTCTTAGTAAGCATGTGAATAACAAGTAGTAAATGTAGGTACTGAATATAGGACTTATACTATGGACACAAAATTTCATCATTGCCGTTTCTTAGGTGATTTAAAAAAAAAAGAACATATCTAACCTTGGCTTCGTTCGAGGCAGTAAGCATATTTACCTAATCTATTGGTTCGTAGAAAAGTCTGAGGTGTATTCATACGCGAATGAAAATAAAAACGTTTTTTGTGTTTTACGTCCGGTATTTAAGCCGTTAGGCATTACTTGAAACAACTAGCTGCAAGTACGAAATGCTGTGTCTGCCCCCCGGATTTGAACTTAGACCATAACCTGTCTCTAAGTTTAGCAAATAAAAACGCTACTGCGCTGTTATAGGGAAAGGATTCGGTAGGTGAGGTTCACAATGTGTGTAGCAAATCTAGTTTTGTTGTTTGCGACAGTTGCTGGATGCTAAGGTAGGCTCGTAATCTATCAAGATTTTCGAAAAGTAAATTTTATTTTTATGGCTTGATACGTGCTCTAGGTGGAGCTTAGCCACTGTAACAGTTTAGAAGCGATCATTAAAATAGCTTCATTTATAGCGATAGAACGTAGCGCGTACGTTAGGGCCCGTCTTCTTTGCGTAATATAAATTTGATTGCTAATAATAATTTACAGGTACTGTGGGTCATAAAAAGTGTGCAGCATAAATGTATTGGTACCGAGAACTAATATTTTTCGAGCCCCGCTCCAATTCGACACTAAGCACGCGAAATTAGTATATAGTTTATTGAAATCTTTTTTTGCAAATATTATGTGCAGGAATGGCCGCCTAATCGCACTGATTTTTAAATAACCCTTGTAAATGTTTCTCTCGAACTTGTCTCTCAAGAACCACTACACAAGAAATCTTCAAGAAAGATTAAAAAATGCACATTTACCAGATCTCAATAACGCGAACGTTCAAGTCCGAAGATCACTCATTCCAAAGAATTTGTTAACGGGCGTCAGGCAGGCTGAAACAAAACAGCGAATATTACAAATTGCGTTCAGCGATAAAACACATTTTTACGTAACCGAGTATATGAATAAACGAAAAAACCGTTTCTGGGAAACCGAAAATCCCTAATCTTTGGAAAAAACGCTTCTAGTTGTGTGCCGGAAATGTTGTTAGCGGGACTGTAAACTCTGATCGCTGTCAGGTGATATCGGGTTTTTTATGCTCCAAATTATTAGGGAAGGTTTTGCAAGACATGTAATTTCATTAAGATGGTCTACTTCTGCTCGTAACTGATAGTGTAGTGCTCTTGTTAAAGGGTCACTTCGGTGAACGGCTGATCTCCAGGCACGATGACGTCAAGTGCTCCATTGATCATGTGGTCCTAAATCCGCTCGACTTCTCTTGAGTGGCAAAATGTACTACGACAATACATGGATAGTGGACAAACCTAAGGAAATATCCGTAATTAATATTGTATCTCTTTCTAGTTGGAACGCATACTGTTCATCTTCAAAATTTGTTTATTGTGTACATTGGTTAGTAATGAAAAAATACAGATACAGTATTTTGTTTCCCCGAATTTGATTGCTTTGACTGATTCATGAGTAGTTGATATCTATTTGTTGATACATAATAAAAATCCTTAAACCATTAATATTTTCTTGTGTGAAGTCTTGGCCTGTATGAACGGTATAATGAAACCAACATCTCTGGAAACCATGTGTTAAAAAAAGCTTCCTTCAAGATTCTGACGTAGATGTTAGGAAGGATGATCTTTTTGGAGAAGCTTTCTTTACAGCGATTAAGGATCGTTGCATATTAAACAATCAAAGTTATTTATTTTTTAAGCTCACATGAAAAACCACGACTTCGGATTCGGAAAAAAAGAACGTGCAATAACACCTGGTAGCTGGATGCCTCGAGTTTTATGTTCGAGGAGATACTAACTAGGCATACTCCTCAGAAATAGCTGTGTAGCGTGTTAGATTAATGAAAAGAACTCCTAGCAATCCGCCTAAGCGTAACAATCCATGGTAGAGTTTACGTACTAATACTAACGCTGAATGTTTGCATCCCATTTCCCTGTGACGTAATCGATCCTGTCTTGATCGCCTGGTTGATGCCTTCACGGACCGCTGATTATCGATGCACGCCGTACGCGACACCTTTAATTAACAACAGTCTGCTGCTACCGTTCCTCCTCAATCTTCTGACGGCTTGGTCAATCGACCTGCACAACGGCGTCGAAACCAACGCCGACAGGACTCGGATGAGGAGTACAACACCCCCTCGTCAGGATCATCTGATGTCTCGTCACTGGAGGCCGCAGCAACGGAGTTGGGGCAAGCGCCTACAGCTGGAGGAGACTCGTCGAACTCGACCGCTGGCTCAGCCTCCTCCTCAATATTAAGAAAACGGGCAAGCCGTTTTCTTACTAGGTAAGATAATATGCGTATACTCACCTCCCATCCATTTATTTGTAGTCCCTTTTCTCGGATGCAGTTGAATTAGACCGATATATTCTATTTTTATTCATAAATTATGGCATCGAAAAGTTTGTTTTACGTCTTACGAACGAAAAGGTAAGTGATTGGTTTACATAGCTTCAGAAGTGAGATTAACTGATCATTCTCTAAGCATTTATTTGTTATGAATAATGTCTCAATAATAATAATAGTAATAATAATAACAACAATAATAATGACAATAGTGATGTATTTTTTGTACCTGTTGTCATTGTGCGCGACAGGCCTCTCGGAAGTCCATCGCGGAGTTCCAGTGCGTCAAGCCAATATAGTAGTAAGTGGTGCACAAAAAGAAAGACATTTTATTCTTTTGCTTCTGAATTGATTGGCGGAGATGTCTATGCTTGCTGTGATTTAGAGGCGGTAAACGGCTGTTACAGAGGACTCGTTTGGATACAACTTGAAGAACAGATTATCATACTTAACATGGAACTCGTAGATATTTGAAGCACTTGGGCCATTTTATTTTGGTAATACAGTAACTATCATTTGTGCCATATTAACATTTTACAGAAGAAAAACATATTTTCTTTTTATTGGCATGGCACTCTTTTAATCACACGTCACCGATGTGAATTGTTACCTACGTACAGCTCCACCTGAAAGTGGACTAGAGGCGAGGCTGCGAAGGCATCGCCCTCGCGCAAGTGGCCCTCCTAACGAGGATGGCGCAGGTGATGCCGCTGCTGCTGCAGAAAATTCAAGTGATGCCACGAGCGATGGTGAGCAGCGAGCGGAGGGCGAACATCATAGCCTTGTGCTGGAAGCGAGACTTGCAACGGACTCGTCTCCATCTCCAGACTGGTCCTCGGATGACAATCTCAATCTAAATCCTGACGATCGAAACCAGAATGAGGATGCCACAAGGCGACCCCCAACATTACAGGTGAGAGTAAAAACAATGATGTAACAATTCCGGTCTCGAGGGACGTAAAAGCATGAATTGTACCAGGCCAATGCGCCACTCTCAGATTAACGTTCTTGTTAAAACGGGTTTGCGTATCCAAATAAGTAATAACTGCCGAGAAAATATTGAATTTTAAGGGAAACTATAAACAAGCTCAAAGAATAGTTTGCCTACCTCTTTATATGTGGGGATAATTTTCTTCAATTACGTTTCTACCATTGTAACCTCCAGGTTGTCTCAATTTTAGGGTGCAATACGAGGACCGCGGTGGCGCAGGAGAGCCACCACAGCTGAAGAGGAGGCCAAGTATGATACGACGCCTAAATGCCCGCGACCCTGCCATAAATGGAATGCTGTGGTTGAAATGGACCGTCGAGGAACCTACGGAAATCCGGGAGTTTTTCGAAATCGTTGCTATGGTATGTCCTAGCTGCTACTATGATAAGATTAGGTTAAAAATCTACTTAGTTAATTTCGTAAATTCCCAATGCTAAACGTAAAATGGCGATCTCTGAAAGTGATACCACTGAGCACCTAATCTGAAACACAGACATGTAGACACCTATACTAATTTCCTCGTCATTTTTGCTGTTTATATATAATGGTGTTTATTTTGTTCTTTTTTTTTCTCTATAGGAAGTCTTCGCAGTGTTGAGCGTCTGGAATTAATGGCGAAATTGGATGGTCATTGGGGCTGTGTTAATTCAGTGAGCTTTTGCCCTGAGGGCCATTTGCTTGCGTCCGGTTCGGATGATCTTCATTGTATGATCTGGGAATGGCAAAGGTACGGGGCTGGGTTTATGTAAAAAGGATTGCTATTACTGGACGAAACGGATAATAGCTCAATTTCAGGCTCAGGAATTTCTATGAAATCACTTTTTCATATGGATTAATCTATTTATCTTATGCTGTTGTTTTTGCTTACGCCGCTTCACTAGGAACCGGGCGCTATTAGTGTTCGAAACAGGCCACCGAAGCAATGTATTTCAGAGCAAGTTTCTACCAAATCGAAATAACACCGCCATTGTTACAGCGGCTCGGGACGGCGCAGTCAGGTTACACGGTATGAGCATCATCACCTGCACACCTAGCTACAAGAAGATACACACCCACATTAGAGACAGTCATTACTACAGCATCTGCTGTCTGTATGGTGACCCCCAAAGAAGTAACGGACAGGATATTAAGATAGATCAAGAAAAAGAAGTGGCCGAGGCTTTAAATTAGTTTGAAAAATAGACTGTTTCAAAATCGTTAGATCTATTATTGTCCGTTTGTGAGTACTACCCACAGTTCAAAGCTGTCAAAGCATATATTAAAACAAAAAGAAAACATGGACGATTAGGTGTTGTATAGAATTCGGAGTTTCATGGAGTTAATAGGGCTAATTTTTCAGGTAAAGATTCGATTCGCTTTACAGGTATTGGTTTTATTTTGCATAATGTACATGTTTCAGAGCTCTGTGACGGTGGAAGTGCTGTGGAATCGTCGAGGAAGATTGCCTATCACCGGGGCCCGGTGCATAAAGTTGCCATGCACTATTCGATGCAAGAAACGTTAATGTCAACAGGAGAAGACGGTGTTGTCAATGAAATTGATCTACGACTGCCAAATCCAAACACTCTGGTTAGTCTTTAGCGTCAACTTCGACTGTGCTCGAATCATATTCAGCAGATAGGTCGGAAATTTATTCTTCTATTTCGAGCCCCTAATGCGTCCTTCTCGAGCCTTTTCAGCATCTTCTTTTACAAATAATTCAATAATCCTGTTCGTATTTTGCTGCTTGAGTATTGGCGCTATGCATGACTCTGTAGGTCTCTGTAAACCGGTGACAAAAAATAATTGCCTCAAAAGGCCTGCAAACGTTTGTCTTTAACCAATGAAGTAAAAACTGAAAATGGAGGGATTTAATTAGATATAACCACATGTGGCCATTGATTTACGTTACATTGTTGTTTATCTTACAAACCACCAACGAAGCTGTTATTAGAATATAAAAATAAGAAGGCAGTCAGAGGCGATCAATTTTTGTTCGCATTACTATACATTTTTCAAGAACACGAATTTTATATAAAATAATAATATTATAAAAATGATCAAGCTTTTATTAAATTTTGTGTGAACCATGCGTGAATAGCATGCTTAAGTTAGTACGTATTTTAACTTGACCGGCAGTTAACCGTCGAAGATGACAGGCCGGACACTATAGGCCTGTACAGTATTGCAATCAATCCGTGTCGTCCGTTTGAATTCTGTATTGCTGGCCTTGATCCTTACGTGCGAGTCTACGATCGTCGGAATGTCAAGATAAGCGAGACTGTGCGCAAACTCTGCCCTAACCATTTAGTAAGTCAAGCCACTGGCCATCTTGTATCTGTTTGTTACATACAGGTCTTACCCTTGTGAGCATGAAGCTATAAGCGAACAGGCCACAGACAGACAGAACTTTGTTTAGGGTTAGGTCTAGCCTAAACCAGGTTAATTAGGTAGAACAATATGCACGTACCTCGACAGACATGAAGTTTATGGTGGTGATATTTACTAATATTAATGTAAATTTTCTTGTTCTCAATTTGTTTTTATTATTATTTCAGGCTGGTGCGCGGACATCGAACTTGGCAGTGTCCTGTGCTGTGTACAATTTTGACGGGAGCGAAATATTGGCTACTTACAGCGATGAAGATATTTATATATTCAATAATCATCCACCGCACAATGACGCGGATCAGGATTTCCTGCATCGATTCCAAGGCCATCGAAATAATCAAACTGGTACTAGCATATATTTCATCTGCAATGATCAACTACTGCGTAGCCAGAGTGTTCGTTCAACTTCTGATTTCAGGATTGACTTTTTGCGTAGGTTGTTATTTTGTGTTGCAAAAGATAATCGTATTTTAAATATAGCCAGCGAATCATGGATCACTTTATTAGGCCTAGTCTAAACACTGCAAGCTTACATTTCCTTCTTTAACAACCCATGACATGGCTTACGCAAAATTATATAAACTGGCAGTGGACTTACTAAAATTACAGCCCCACATCTCTAGCTAAATATTGAAGTACTGTTTTAATTAACCGTGTATCTCATAAACGTTTGCAGTTAAGAGCGTAAATTATTTTGGTCTGCGAAGCGAGTACGTCGTCTCCGGCTCAGACTGCGGCCATATCTTTTTGTGGGACAAGAAAACGGCGCACATCGTAAACTATCTGCATGGCGACGAGGGTGGTGAGCTATTTTATACTGAATTTTATCTCGTAGCCTTAAATATTATCGATAGTTTGATAAAAGCTCGAAGACAATTATTCAAATCTATCACTTGTAAGTGGAATAAATCTATTGAAGCCATAACTGTTGTTCTTTAAAGAAACGAAATCTTAATTAAGAATTAAATTTCATATTCGTGACAGGTGTCGTAAACGTTCTCGAGCCAAATCCATGTGCACCCTATCTAGCTACTTCAGGCTTTGACCACAACGTGAAGATTTGGGCTCCTTCGGCCGACGAACCGCCCGACCTAACGCAAGTTCGCATGGTAAGCATTTGATTTATTCGTCTAATCGGAGAGAGTTGATCAGCTAATCTTGGATCCGTCTAATGTCTGAATACTGATTAAATATGTGAAGCTAATAAATGGGTAACAAGAAAAAAAAAATTACATGAATATTATGGGGCTTGCTTCTTTCAAAAGCATGCGAATCGAATTCTTCAGTGGTTTATAGCAATACACGGAATGAATTTTGTGTGAAATTTCATATTGATAAGCCCAAATTACCCACAGAAAGAAAGTGTTTTTCCTTCGCATTTTTTAACATAAACAGCTATAGTACTCTAATTTTTAGATACCGGCGAACATATTGGCTCAGACAAAATGATAGAAAGGGTACACATTAATGCATTTTTGGTTTTAGCACACCATGGAAAACATCCGTCAGCGTGAAATGGAGGTGCGCCGCAGTGAAGAATATTGTAAGTGCAAATTTACGATACGATATTAGCTAACAAACAGTTAAGTGAAGAATATGCAATGCGTAATTTGTGTAATTAGATAGAGATGTGCGCCTAAAATATCAATAATAAGATTTCGAGGTTAATACAGTTAAAATCAGTATATAAGATGCTGTCTAATGCCAAATAATTCACAGGTTTACTGTTGGTATACGATGTGTTACTTAATATGTATTATGTATATTACATATCATGCAAGCCAAGAACGACGGAAGTTTTGATCTCATATTCATTGACAAAAATCAGATAATAGCTTCCGCAGAGCATAGTGCTAAACTACGACTAAAATTTACGCTAGCCATCAGCTGTTTTTTAGAAAACGGCGTTACATTTTTTAGGTTTCGGATGCTCATAAATTAAAAATGAGCAACCTTTTTATCTTATCCGGCACTTGCGTGATCATTTGTACTGATTTTTTAGAAAGTTACCAGAAACCTTATCGAACACTAAAATTTGACGGATTTAAATTTTTAAAAATATTTCACCATCTTTTAAAAAACATTTTTTATTTTAAAAACTAAACTTTTATATAAACAAATATTTTAATCTTAACTGTTTAACCGCAGCTACTCGCACAGATTTAGCCAGTCAATTCTCATTATTATTTATAATATTAAAATTTACTCTCTAACATAAATTTTCTTGTTATAAAGATCTTAATCTGCTAGACCTGTGCCGCCAACACAATCATCACGAAAAAAATCCTTCCTAATTTCAAAAATAAAAATAAATAAAAACAGAAGTAACTTACAAAGGAACTTATTTTCATTGTTTATTCTACAAAATATATAAACATAGATGACATTTATTCTAACACAAAAAACGACAGAAAAACTTTGTCTTAGAGGGTGCCAATTTAACGCTCAAATGGCAGCTGCGTCTTTCTTCTTGATGGCTTTCTCATCGTTGCAAA